AACATTAAGTCACTAAATTATGAGCCACTGAGGCATTTGCTAATAATGCCCCATGAATGTTAGCTCAATTGAGAGCCAGGTGTCATACACATGCAAAATAACCAGATACCTACCTAAGTGTGATGGTCTCTGTAAGCAAGGTGTCCTCCCTTGTCTGTGCTAATATGGAGTTGAAAGTGTTGTAAAAGGGGGAAAGTTAGGCCCTTAAATGAAGCATCCAGTTTGCAAATGATTCTCTATTGAAAAAGGTCACAGTATTGGTGTAATATTATCTAAATGGATACTGATGTGCATAAAAGGGTTCTCTCAAGAAACTTCCAGAATAACATGATGCAGGTAGGTTATCTGTAATGTTAGTCAGTGAATGAAGAGTCTAGGAGATGATAATCACCTCAACATCCACATTTAAAAGTCACTGTTACTGAGCTCTTTTTAATTCTATTCCAGGACATGCACCTACCAATAATTTTTGCTTTAGAAGTTTCTTGGTATTGTAGGAGGAGTTTGATGATGAAACCATGCATCTGTATATATAGAAACATGTGGATATATTATCAGTATGGATGGAAATATATTTTACAGGTTAAAGCATTCTAAAAATATTTTTATCAAATACCTTATTCTGATATTGCTTGCATCTGGGTTTAAATCCATACTTTCCTGGAGAAACATGTTATCTTTTACTCTTGTCTCAGTAGGTGCCAGGCATTCAAATGCTGTTTTCCCAGCTCAAAGGAACTAAGGACCCAAAGGCAGTTACCATTGATATATAGGAAGAGTGACAACAATAAGTCACGCTACAGTGTGTAGAAAAGTAGAAAGCATCCCTACCAATCCTTAAAATGTTTGGCTGAGAGCTATACACTGGGTGGCAGGAGAAACTGATTAACCTTTTACTCCTAAGAAGATTCCTCAGGCATAGAGTATAGTTAATGCCGTGAGACATACAGTATTTAATAGGTGTTCAGCATCTCAGAAAAAATAAAATAGTTATTGTAGGAATATCACTGATAGATTGTGGCTCTCAGGAAGCCTGGGGAATAGGACCTGAACATATTTCGCTCTTTCCTTTGTGTTTTGCTGGCCTTTGTTGGAAGTCTTATGGAGCAGTTTAAGTGAACAGATGATGAGCTAAAGGAATGGAAGCAGGAGACATAAGGAACTTGCAAAATTAAATACCCTGCGGAGATACTTGTCCATTCAGCAGCCTCAGTTGCTTAGCACTGGACCTGATCCTGTGGAGGATGCAGAAGCATATAAGGACTGGCCCCTGCCCTCCAGAATCACCATCTAATTGGGGATACAACACAGAACCTACAGTAATTAAATATCAGAGCCATGAAGTGCCATGATGCAGATGCCTACCAGAGGGCTAGGAAAGGTCAAAGAAGGGGCCAGAGTGTTGTCTGGATTGTCAGAGAAGGCTCCTGGGAGGGGTCTGGGCTGAACTTTTGAGACAGGGAAGTGAAGGTTAGCAGAGGCCAGGGAAGGAGCAGCATTCCAGAATGAGCAGATATTTGGAGTTGGAAATGCAGCTGAGGGCCTCAGGAGGTAGTAGGAAGCTGGTCTGGGTAAAGAGAACACATGTGGAAATGTATGCAAATTTCATTAGAGAAGCAAGAGTGGCCAGATTATGAATTGTTATGAAATTCAGGTCAAGGGTTTGGATTTCCTAATTTAATAAATAGTATGATGGACTCTACATCAAAGGTGAGTTGCTGCGAGGCAGTATTTAGAACAGAAGAGAAAGAAAGCCAGAAGAAAGAAGACCATTTGGCTGGCAGTTTTCTGACAGTAGGAATGATATAGATACCTGAATTGGGATGGTGCAGCTGAGAAGTACTGAAAGATTAACTTCATATTGCAGAGGAAGAAAGCACTTTACTTAGAAAGGGGACAGGAAGGGCTGAACGGTGTACTAACTTTGCAAGGGTAGTTCACAGAGAGAACAGGGGAGTTCTTGCCGAGGGGAAACCTGGGAGTTTGAGCTAGATTACAGGGAAGAAGATGAGGAATTTGGTTTCAGACACATTCAATCAGACGTAAAAGCTAGTCTTTGTAGTAGTGTCATGAAAACATTTGAAGCCATTGACTGAAATTCAGTTGAGAAGCCAAGTCATATCCAAGAATCTCCTGCATTCATCAGGGAAAAAATTAGTTTAAGTGAAGACAGCAGCAGGGCCAAAGCCTAACTGTGGGGACTAACTGCTGTTTGGATGGAATTATAATATTTTAGATAAGATTTAAGAGGATTCTAATTCTAGCTACTTGATAGGAATGCAAATGATGATAAGGCTTTTAGAGTTAGATAAGAGAGACGGCTAGCACCCTGATATTCTGTAATTGAAACAGAGATTCAAGTCCTTTGGTGAAGCATTACCCATATTCATTCAGGAATATTAGATATTTTAAGATTACAGATAGGTTATCTTATCTAATTTATCTACCTATTGTTGAAATTATTTAATTTGCATATAACTGTGTTTTCACTGGCTTATCATTTCTCTCTTCTAGAGCTAACTTATCTCTTGTTATATTCCAGACTCTTGGTGTAAATTACCTTCATTGGAAATTTTGGAGAAATATAGTGTTTTATTTATTTATGGATAAAATAGTCCCAGAGAGAGAGAGACACAAGGATGGACACTTAGAAAACAGTCCCAGCTACTCGGGAGGCTGAGGCAGGAGAATGGCGTTAACCCGGGAGGAGGAGCTTGCAGTGAGCCGAGATCGCTCAACTGCACTCCAAACTAGGTGACAGAGCGAAACTCTGTCTCAAAAAAAAGAAAAGAAAAGAAAACAGTCCAAGGAGAGAATTCTAATGCCCGACAGAAGTAACGTTTAGAATGTTAGAATGAGGGCTTCTAACTACAGTTTTCACAGACATGGGATAGGAATCTTAGCACCAGATTTTCTACCAGTAATAGAGTTAGATGTATCATTTGCTCATTAAAATGGAGGTGGCATCCTATCCTCTAACAGTGTATCATGATCTCAAGAAAATGAAAATGTACCATTTCTACTGCATGACTGAACATGACTTGGGCTGATTATAAAAATTAGTTGTAATGGCATATATCAGTATACTTAAAAATAATAAATGTACTGCAGAATGTGCAATGGAATAGAAAAGGACTTTGATTATCAACAAGAGTATATATACTTCATGGTAGGTGAAAAGTAAATATGAGGCCATTTGTGAGAAAAGTCTGTCATGAATGCATCAGTGTGTATATGAGGGCTCCAAGGCCATTGATTCTAAGAATAACTAAACTCCCTCCAATTCTCTTGGCCAGTCTGCTTGGGTGGTGTCTGGGAATCTCCTTAGTAAGTCCCTGCTATCCACAGATATCCTTAGGACCCTTTCATGACAAGAATATTAACTCTGGAAGAATTCTGTGGCTGTCAAGTCAAGCGGTTATCTGAAGAGAGGCAGAATATATTGGAAGATGATGTGAACTCATTCCCAGTTGTCTTAGCTCACTTTTTGCTCATCCTTGGCTGTAGAAAACTTTTTGTCACAGTTCAGATTAGGCCATGGTACAAGTAACAGCAACCCAAAAACCTTAAATAGGCTTCAAGAAGATAGTTATTTCTCTTTCCCAAAAAATCCTGGAAATACTCCAGGGCTGGAGGGCAGGGCTGGTCATCTCTGTTCCAGGAAACCTTTAGTGATCCAGGTTCCTTCAGGCTCATGCTCCACCATCCTGAAAGGGAGGCTTTCCTCCTCATGGACCAACATAGTAGCTTTCACATTCCAGACAGCAGGATAGAATGAAGAGCCAAAAAGAAAGGCAAAGGCCTGTGCCCACTGTATTCTTAGGAAAGGTCCCTGAACCTGTCTCATGACACTGTTGTTTATATTCCACTGGCCAGAACTTGGTTGTATGGCTCTACCGAATTGCAAGGGAGGCTGAGAAATGTAGCCTTCTCTCTAGGCAAACACAGCCCAATGCATAATTTAAGACATGAAAGAAGGGGAGAATCAATACTGGGAGAAAGTATACAACCACACCTTCCTTTTCCATTGCAGTGGCACCATGGTATCAGCAGGTCACGTTATATAGCTGCCTGCGGAGGTGCCTGAAGCAGAGCGGCAGTTGCAGAGTAATCCAACAGTCTCTAAGAGCAGGTACCCTGGAGTCACATCACTTAAGTTTGATTCCAGATTTTTCTCAGATGTAAAGGGGAAATAATATTAGTACCTTCCTCTTAGAGTTGTGACGATTAAGTGGAATACTGAATATGAAACTTTCAGCATGGTATCTAAGACTTCAAAACCATTTGATAAGTGTGATTTAGCTCTTATATTAACAGTAAAATGAAAAGTTTTAGAGTATCCATATACATGTAGCTTTTTTGTACATCTCTACAATTTGGAGGATATATTTGCTTTTTTCCAGCTATAAGAGCCAGAGTGGTTTTCATTTCTAATTGCACTTTTCTCCTTTTGAAAATAAGCTGACATGTGCATGCTTGGTTGGGAGGATGGTGGTAATTTCTAACAAATTGTATGAACGAGTTTCTTGAATTTTCCATGGGTTCTGCATGTTTCATTGATACAATCTTACAGGCTTTTTTTTGTAATGGTTTTGATGTGAAGGATTACTTTACAGTAAGCATCTACAGGATACCCCTTTCCACTGATGTAACAAAGTGGGAATTGGGCACTGCCTCAAGAGGATGAGGCCATTGTTGGCCATCCTTGGATGGATGGGGTTCAAAGATGGCAATGTGGAGTGGGTGTTCTCTGTGTTTGCCTATAAAAGGATAGACAGCTCTGAATTGCAAAATACTATTGTCTATCAAAATGTAAAAGTTCGACTTGTTCTTCATTTAGAAATGGTGATAGGAAAGAAGTGGGTGAAAGTGAAGCTTGGTATTCCAACTTTGATGTGACAGTTTTCTCATGATTACAGACCACAAAATAGTTGTGTTGAGATATTTTTGCCAATACTTAAATGCTCTTTTGCTTCTCTCTTTTTCTTTCTTTCTTGAAGCCCCCTCTTTGTTCTGTGGCTTTTCTTTTGTAACTCCTCCAGACTACAGCTTTGTTCCCCCTTCTTCCACTCCTTTCTGGTCAGGTACTGCTTTACTACTTTTATTTGTCTCTTCAACTTGCTTCTGCTTGCATATAAAATATTTGAGTTCCATGTATGGCTTCTCATATGGATACATCTCCTCACAGACACTCCCTCGAGTTCCATTACCACCATGCACTTTACTCTTCTCCGTCATAAAGTCACTGTTCATCATGACATTTCACTCCTGTGGTGTTTGTGTGTGTGCTCATGCCATGAGACATTTTATAATTTATCGGTTGGGGAGAGTTTGCAGAGGGATGGGGCTGAAAGTATAAAGAGGGATAAAAATCTATGAAATCATTATTTTTCTTGAAGACCAGAAAGTTTAGTTGAAAAAAAGCCAATGTTTATGTATTTTCATGAAGAAAATAAATAGAATTAAAATCCCAAGTTTGTTTTCAAATATAAAAGTAAAATACAGTGCACATTACTTGAAAAGATGACTGGCGCCCATGAATTCTGCAGTTCTTCAGTTTGTGTGCGGGCATTTTGGTCTTGATTTCTGTCATTACCCAGAGAGTTTAATGGCTGTTTACATGACATTTAGGGTGTACATTAGATAAAGTCTGTTTTTCTGATAGATTTTTAAAAATTAACCTGCACATCCCAATAAAAATCATAGAATTTAGAACTAGAAAAAACTTACAAGTCATCTAGTACAAACCTTTCATTTCGTAGATGAGAAAAAATGTGGCCTTGAGGGGTTAGGAGACCTGTGCAAGGTCACACAGTTAAGTTGATGATTGGTTTTTTCCATCACAGGGGTGTTTTTATGTGCACCAACTCTAACAGTAGTGCCCCAGTAATGGGACAGTTTTCAGTGAGAAAGCTATTAAAGTGGTTTGTGTCCTGAACAGTAAAATAAAATGACCTATTTTTACTCCCTTTACAGTTCTGAAATCTACAGTATTGCCATTCATTTATCTCATGATGGACACCTGGAGTCTCAAAAAATTTCTGTCATTACAAAGCCATGAATAATGGTTCAGAGATCCCTGTGGCCAAGTGGGCAGGCTCTTCCAGGGTAACACGGGTCATAACTTCTGCTGCCTGAGCCCTGGGAACTGTTAAAAATACAGATGGATGGTGTTTCCCATTTGTCTCTTTTTCTCACACTTAAGTTCCTTTACCATTTAAGATTTATAAAGTTTCACCAACCTCCGATGAGTGATTCTCAGAATCACTGAACATATAATTGAAAACACTTTATAACCCCAAAGAGCAACAGGTAGAGAAGTTAATATAAAATGTGCTATGAAACACTAGAGACTAACAAACATGAACCACTGGAATGGAGTTTTGTTTTCAGAACAGGACCAGCAGGGGCAGGGAGAAAGTTAGCTCCTGTTCTGCCATCGAAAATTAAAGACACACACACACACACACACACACAGAGAGAGAGAGAGAGAGAGAACTCTGAACTGAACATGAATACCCTGACATTTTTGATTAGATACGTCAGTAAAGTTTTTCGGTAAGGCAGTATTTGTTTCAAAGAAAGAAAATATATGGATGGCATTTATGTGTTCCTTCTGTGAGACCTGATTCACACCTCTGAATTATATAGAAAACAATAACTAAATTTATCCCCAAATAGTTTTAACATAGAAAGCTTCATTAGGGAAGAAAGTGCCACTTAACCAGAAGTGATAACATAGATTTGACAGGAGACTTACATCAGAGCAAACTGTTTCGTTGTTTTGTGTTAGTTGAAGCAGTTACTGGATGAAATCATAAAGCTTTACCTTGGAGGTGCTAGTTAGATTACTGGGCCATCAATAGGAAATTTATGATGAAATTCTTTTAGAATCTATCTCCTTAGATACTTAGATATTAACCAGTTTTTTTAATTTGTTTTTTTCTGTTTTGTTTCGTTTTTATAAAAACTAGTCCTAACTTTGAAGTTCTTATGAAGAATGGAGAAACAGGACAATGATTCTTTAAACTTATGAAGCGAATTTGCCTGCACCTGATTGAATTGAAACAGCAATTTTGCTGCTTTCAAGCTCCTCTGCCATTATCGCTGGTCTATAATGAAATCACGACTGTGCATTTGATAGCATCAATAACAGTCATCTGATTAGGTTCTTATGGTTGTTAACGAACTGCAAACCTACTCTCACTCCTTGTCATTTCTTGGCAGTGTTAAGTCCAAAAGTGCTGGGCATTGCCATCGCTCGGTACGACTTCTGTGCAAGAGATATGCGAGAGTTGTCCTTGTTGAAGGGAGATGTGGTGAAGATTTACACAAAGATGAGTGCAAATGGCTGGTGGAGAGGAGAAGTAAATGGCAGGGTAAGTTGGTCCTTAAGTAAAGAAGTAAACAGCAGGGTGAGCTGGTGCACATGAATGAAGGGGACCAAGCAGTTGTTGGCACCTATTGTGGTGCCAGGGAGAAGCCTCCATACTGTATTGCAGCTGTCAGCCCACAGGCCCCTGCCCTCTGGAAACTGGTGCTATATTTTGCTGATACCAGGGACTCGCTGAAAATATTTGAAATGAATATGATAGTGACACATATGTAAAATTCACTTGGGCAAGTGGGACAGCTTCCTGCTTGGAAAAGAGTTGAGGAGCGTTTCAGTTCTTTTTAGACCCTGAGCCGTAGAGCTAAACTTTATGTGTATTGCAAAATATCTATAAGAGCTGCTGATCTAAATTGGAAAGAATGGGACATAGTACCTCTGTCTTTTCATTCTGTTCTACAGCAGAAATAGGAATCATTATGCAGCAGAGCCCCCCGTATTATACTTAATTTACATATTTATTTGTGTGCTAGTGGATTAGAACACTGTTTATTTTATTCCTCCATTTCGATCATTCACTCTATTAGGCTTCTAAGAGCAGTTAAACCAATCTTCTCACCTACAATGGGCATAAAACCCCAGTTTAATTGGGGTGTTATGAAAACAAAATACTCTGTAGAATCCTTTGAAGTGTCAGATACAAAGTCATGTTGCTATGTTGGTTGCTTTTCTTTTTTAGGTGGGCTGGTTTCCGTCCACGTATGTGGAAGAAGATGAATAAATTCAAATCCAGCATCGCACCCTGCACCAAAAATTTCAGAGAAGGGATAAGTAGAAGCCTGCACAGCGTTGTGAATTAACTGAAGTGTTTAAAAAGCTGCATTTCTGGCTGTTCAACATCCTCCCTCCTTAGCCCCTCCTAAGTCTTAATGCTGAGATTTCTAAAGATGCTGGTACTGACAGATTAATGGCTTGCCTAGAGCTGTGCAAGAAACAGCCTGCCAGTCTGTCATTGTCAGGGACCAGGGCAAAACCAAGAGCTGTTTCTTCCCAGAAGAGCCCTGCAAACACATTGGTTCATGCTTCCCTTTACTTCATCCGGTCAGATACTATGAGTGCCAGTCATCAGTAAATCTTTAACACACTTTTGCTTTATTCTCACATGTCATTCACCAGATTATTTGATGGTACAAAGAAGCAGAAGTGTAATTTTTATTTTCCCAGCATGAAGAAAAATTGGAGTTCTGCCATTTGAGCAGCTTACTGGAAAGATCCAGCCTTACTTGTCTTAAATTGTCCAACAAGGTGACTCATTGCCCGGCAAACACTTTTACCCTCAGATGTTACTCATGATATTATAAAATATGAGGCCAATGCTCAGGTTTGCCTCATAAGTGAGATATCCCTGAAGGAATTTAATTATTCATGTGGTGTCCTGATTATATTTGCAAACTTCTTTATAAAAGGTGAAAAAAGCACATAAAAGAGAGGGTGTCTTCATATTAAACCTTCACAACCTTCATGATTTCATAGGATTATTTTGGAAATATAGTACTTGACTTTATGAAAGAATGTGGGCTAGGTATATTAGAAGTAGTTGCCAATAATCTGAATAAGGTGGCATTGTTTACAGAAACAGATCAAGGGCTATAATTTATGTCATTTTATAGCAGTAGTATCTATTAACACATGCCTTTTCCTCCCATCCACCTCCCTGTCCCCTCCCCTTCCGTCCCCCACAAAGATGATCTGGGACATGACTTTTTTATTCCCACATTTTCTTGGAGCACAAACAACCTTGTTGAAGATTTTGGAAGGAAAGCACAGCTGGGTCCTTTATTCATTTCTGGGACAGAAAGAGCGTCAGTGGGCTTTTGTGGGCTTCCAGCTTCTCTCAGAGTCTCCCCCTCTGCAGCCCATCCTGGGAGTGTATTAACTGGAAGGAATATGAGTCTTGCAGTACATTTGTTTTGCCAAGCCATCACTCTTTTATGTGAGGAGCCTAAATACATTCTTCCTGGGGTCCAGAGTCCCCATTCAAGGCAGTCAAGTTAAGACATTAACTTGGCCCTTTCCCGATGAAATATTTCCTCCACAGCAGAAGTTGTGTTCTGACAAGATTCAGAGAGTGTTTCATGTTTGGAAAAAAAGAAGAAGCATTAACTTAGTAGAGCTGAACCAGGAGCATTCCGTTCTGAAATTTTGAATCATCTCTGAAATGAAGCGGGTGTGGCCTGCCCTCTCCTCAAGCCGTTTGGGTGCCAGAACTCAAGGTTCAGTGGACACATCCCCCTGTTAGAGACCCTCATGGGCTAGGACTTTTCATCTAGGATAGATTCAAGATCTTTACCTCAGAATTATGTAAACTGTGATTGTGTTTTAGAAAAATTATTATTTGCTAAAACCATTTAAGTCTTTGTATATGTGTAAATGATCACAAAAATGTATTTTATAAAATGTTCTGTACAGTAAAGTTACACCTCAAAGTGTACTCTTGGAATGGATTCTTTCCTGTAAAGTCTTATCTGTGACTCTGTCTCGGGAATGTTTTGTCTGTTGCCATCAGCTGAACTTTGTTATGGAGGGAGCAGCCTCACACAAGCAGAAACACTCCTGTGGATGGTATTGTAGCATGTATTGTTTATTTTAGTCAATAGACCCTCTCCTTATAAATGGTGTTTAGTCTTCCTATTGCATTTCATGGGCCTAGGGGTTTCCTAGCAGAGGCTATTAGAGCTCCTTTTTGTGACATTACCAATTACATCTTTGTCTACGTTTAATACTTTGTATTGGAAACTTTAAATGCTGCGGATTTGTGTAGAGTTCTAATACCAAAGACAGAAGTAAATGTTTTCCATATACTTTGTCTTGCCTGTATGCAGCCCTTGTGTAATATGGTGAATTAGAGTGGTATTTCACTTTGTATTATTTTGTAAATATGTCAATACAATAAATAGTGACTAAGTTGATTTCTAAGAGTTGGAGTCTTTTTATTGAATGATCCCTGTATTAGTAAGCGTTCCCCTGAAAATGGATGACACTGGATCGTCGGGGCTGTACCCGGTCATTGCCAGCAGTCCAGAGAGGACGGGAGCCGTGTATGTGGGGGAGTCACCCCTGCACCCCTGCCAGCCCCGCGGACGCTATGCGTCTAGTAGGAGGGCCGCTGCTGTGAGTCTTGAAGCCCAGGGCTGGACCCAGGCAGAGCCGCCGCAGGTGCAGATCTTGGTGATAGTAGTAAATATTCAAAGGAGAACTTCCAAGGCCGAAGTGGAGAAGGGTTGCATGTGAACAGCAGTTGAACATGGATCAGTTGATCCTGAGAAATAGGTGAGCGCCATTCGAATGGACAGGCGATGGCCTCCGTTGCCCTCAGCCAATCGAAAGGGAGTCCCGTTCAGATCCCGGAATCCGGAGTGGCGGAGGTGGACGAAGCCAAGCATCCAGCACAGTAATGCCAAAGATCCCAGCGAAGCCGGCGGAAGGCCCAGGGGAGAGTTCTTTTCTGCTTGTGAAGGGCAGGGCGCCCTGGAATTGGGTTCGCCTGGAGAGGGGTCCATGCCTTGGAAAGCGTCAAGGTTCCAGTGGCATCTGATGAGTTCTGGCTGGCCCTTGAAAATGCGCGGAAGAGGGAGGGTGTAAATCTGGCGCCAGGCTGTACCCCTATCTGCAGCATTTCTCCCTCTGGAACTAAGACGTCTAGGCCAGCAGAACAGAATGTCACGTGAACAGGAAGCAAAAATTTTGCCAGTGGATCACTAGGGGTGATGGTGAGTGGTGCCACTTCCACTTCCACCCCCTGATTCCTGGACCCGTGAATCCTGGCTATGGGAGAAAAAGTACCATATATTGGACACTGATTCAGAGCATACACGGCCTTCTAAAGAATTTTGTCCCATCCCTGCAAAGTATTGTCACCTAGTTGGCGTAATTGTGACTTCAAAAGGCCATTCCACCTTTCTATCAATCCAGTTGCTTCAGGATGATGGTGAATTCCATGAGCATGAGCCCACTGCTGTACTTCTTTAGCCCTAAAGTGAGTGCCTTGGACAGAGGCAATGCTGTGTGGAATATGACGGTGGATAAGGCATTCCGTGAGTTCATGGATGGTAGTCTTGGCAGAAGCATTGCGTACAGGATAGGCAAACCCATATCCGGAATGTCTATTCCAGTGAGGACAAACTTCTGCCTTTTCCATGATGTAAGAGGTCCAATATAATCAACCTGTCACCAGGTAGCTGACTGATCACCCCAAGGAATGGTGCCATATCGAGGGCTCAGTGTTGGTCTCTGCTGCTGGCAAATTGGGCACTCAACACTGGCTGTAGTCAGGTCAGCCTTGGTGAGTGGAAGTCCAAGTTGCTGAGCCCATGCATAACCTCCATCCCTGCCACCATGGCCATTTTGTTCATGGGCCCATTGAGTGATGACAGGAGTGGCTGGAGAAGGAGGCTGAGTGGTGTCCACAGAACAGGTCACACTAACCAGTTGATTATTAAAATAATCTTTTGCTGAGGTCACCCATTGGTGAGCACTCACATGGCATACAAATATCTTCACAGTTTTTGGCCACTCAGAGAGGCCCATCCACATACCTCTTCCCCAGATTTCTTTGTCGCCGATTTTCCAATCATGTTTCTTCCAAGTCACTGACCACCCAGCCAAACCTCTGGCTACAGCCCATGTATCAGTATATAATACACAACCAGGTGCACTGCTCGAATTTCTGTCGTCTGGGAAGATTTCCCTTCGGTGCTGTCCTTCAGGGATGTCTTGGAAAGGGGCTGTAGTGCCGCAGCTGTCCACTTTCAGGTGTTGCCTGCATATCATGCAGAACCATTCGTGAACCAGGCCCTAGTCTTCTCTGTGAATTCATCATAGAGTGCTCCTTATGTAGCCATTGGTGCAGGCTAGGGAAGAGAAAGCAGGGTGGCAGGAGTGGAGACCAGGGGCATTTGAGCCACTTCCTCATGTAACTTACTTGGCCTTCAGGACCTGCTCGAGCCCGATCACGTATATATCACTTTCATTTGATGATGGACTGCTGCTGTGCATGACCCACTTTATTGCTAGGTGGGTCAGAAAGCACCCAGTTCATGATAGGCAATTCAGGTTGCAGGGTGACTTGATGACCCATAGTTTCCACCAAAGCCCAGTAACAAGCCAAGAGCTGTCTCTCAAAAGGAGAGTAGTTATCTGCAGAAGATGGCAGGGCCTTACTCCAAAATCCTAGAGGCCTCCACTGTGATTCACATATAGGGGCCTGCCAAAGGCTCCAAACAGCATTCCTATCTGCCACTGACACTCAAGCACCATTGGATCTGCTGGGTCATATGGCCCAAGTGGCAGAGCAGCTTGCACAGCAGCCCAGACCTGTGGCAGAGCCTTCTGTTCTGGACTCCACTCAAAACTGGCAGGCTTTCGGGTCACTTGATAAATGGGCAGGACTAACACACCCAAATGAGGAATGTGTTGACTCCAAAAGTCAAATAGGCCCACTAGGCACTGTGCCTCTTTCTTGGTTGTAGGAGGGGCCAAATGCGGTAACTTATCCTTTACCTTAGAAGGACTATCTCAACAGGCCCCACAATCCCATAACTCACATATACCAGCCCCAAAATTAACATGGGAATTAAGCCCTACTTTTGTTTAGGTTTAGCCCAGGATTGCTGCCTAAGTTATGAACAGTGAACTACAAGGTAAACTCAGTAGTTGCCAATAGCATTTATTGGCGTGCTTACCATGTGCCATGCTCTGTACTAAGTGCTTCATTTGCACTAACTTATAACAACCGCCAAAGGTAGAACACCATAGTATTTTCATTCGTACATGAGGAAACTGAGGTGCATCAAGAGGTTGCAGTTTTCCCAAAGTCACACAGCTGCTAAGTGTCAGAGCTGAATTCTGACTTGGGTGGTCTGGCTCCAGAGTCCATATAACCACTATCCTATCCTGTCACGCTTTGTAGGGCAAGAGAGAGATTTCGTACATTTTTAAACTTACATAACCAAGAAGAAACTATTTGATACTAAACAGTGGTTTGAACAAAGGAAGATTAACACAGAATTAAGAAATACGCCACTATTCCTGCCACCTAAAAGAAACCCCAAAAAAGATATTCCCTAGAGAGATTGGTATCAGATTGAATTTTCGTTTCTACTTTGATGCACTCTTGCACTAGAAAATGGCTGCTAGTCCAGAGAGGCTTGGAGTCAAGATTCCCATGGTGGAGCAGGCCAGCTGATAATCCACAGTGATGGAGTCTGTCTTAGGGAGAGGATGGAATCACTTCATTCCTTCTAAAGACCAGGAAGGGCCATGGTGGTAGCTTCTGCTTGACTTTACCATCACAACCTTGCTACAAACACAAAATTCCTGCCATTTTCGTTATAATACAGTGGGTTATACAGCCCTCAATCCATTATTTGAGGAGCCAACTCCATTGGTATCTTTTTCACTTCTCTTTGACATACTAACATGTGACTGTTAGACCTCGTATCAGTTCATCACCATCCTTACCACTATCAATTGTACTCACCGTTGACCCCTTTATTTGGTAGTTGGGAACATAGCTTTGTAACAAGTATTTTGTCTTCCACCAAACAAGTGAAGTAAATATGCTGGTAGTTAGTTTTTTGTTTGTTTGTTTTGAGACAGAGTTTTGCTCTTGTCACCCAGGCTCCAAGTGCAATAGTGGGATCTTGGCTCACTGCAGCCTCCACCTCCCAGGTCCAAGCAATTCTTCTGCCTCTGCCTCCTGAGTAGCTGGGATTACAGGCACCCGCCATCAGGCCCAGCTAATTTTTGTATTTTTAGTAGAGATGGGGTTTCACCATATTT